AAGATGCTAAAATACTAGTACCTATTACATTAAACCAGATGCAATTAACCCAAGTTTATAGCTCCCTTGAGGAACCTACAAATCAAGGGACGGTGAGAAAGAGACTCCTATATACCAGCAGATAAAACTGAGGACAAAGCTGCCACCTGCCTGTGAAGAGCGTTGGGTGAGACCCCTCTGTCCAGTCTGTCCTAGAGGAACTCCAGAATGTCACTTATAGAAGCCGAAATGGCTGAATGTTTAGTCTTATTACACCATAGGCAAAAGGTCTTCCAAGTGTCATAATATATGCGGTTTGTTGATGGTCTTCTTGAGGCCTGGATCATAGCAATTACTTTGGAAGATAAACTGTCCTTGGCTAAAGATCCCCACTCAATCGCCAGATGGTCAGCTGGAGCCATTGAGGCTCTGGATGGAGCAGGGTAACTTGGCTGAGCGAGCTCTGAAATGTATAGATTAGGTTCTTGCCAAGAATATTTTTTTTGAATGAACAGAATGTTAATTTGATGTCCACCTCATAAAAGCCCCTCTTGCAATTGCTGAGGTTTCCTATAAAACAAGATATGCTGCCTCTTTGGAATTTGGAGGCTGACAGGTTAATAAAATATTTAAAAGCTTTGAATATTTTAGATTTTATCCTTATTCAACAGTATGACTGTACATGAAAAAGCTTTCATGTACTATTGTATTAACTCTTATTAAGTTTAATAAAATGATGGTGGAATATATTGTCAGTTCACATTTTGAGACTTTTTTATTTTTTAAGTCCAAAGTAAGTATTTTACTTCTGAAAAGAAAACATTTTTATCATCTGTTAACAGTGATTTTTGTGTCTTGCTGAAGTTAATATACAAAACAAGACTGCAGCATCTGGACTAAGATAAATAGAATAATTCAGTTTTATTTCTGTAATATCCCTACCCCCACTCCATGAAAATGCCTCTTTGGTTTTTAGAATTCCCACCTTAGTCAGTGCCCAAAGAGGATAGAACAGTACTATACAAACACATTTCTTTGGAAAATTGTGATGATTTAGTAAGTGCACAACAGGCATGAAAAGCTTAGATAAGTTAGAATGCATCAGCAAGTGACATTGTGACTGATCTACAGGCCCAAGGGAAAAGTCAATTGATATACCAGTGAAGCATTTTTCCTGCCAACTTGGCAGACACTCCACTCATGCATACAAGAGATCTAATGCTGTTAGCCAAGCTGTACAGGAACATCTGTCACTTTGATAGATCAATTACTGACACAATAACAGGGAAGCTGCCATTTACTTTTATGCAAAGATGAGATGATGCATTCCTCACAATTCAATAAAAAATATAAGCACAGTCAATATATATAACTTTACTTGTGTACAATCAATATTATATTTGACAATAAACAGATACAAAATTTTTATAAGATTATTTATTTGAGTTCCAACTTTATATGGTTTTATTTTATCTATACAGTTTAAACAAAATGAGCTAAATTACATTTGTTCTTTAAAGGAATTGGCTATACTGATACTGCAATAATAATTTCTTACTCTCTGTCTCTCATCTATCACAACAATATTTTATTTAACCACCAGATCTTCTATTAATCTCTCTATAATTTTTTTCCAAATACTTTTTCAATATTTCAAATATTGTTGGCCTAAAAGAAAAAAAAACCTAAAAATTTTAAAGAGAATTTTAAAGGAGAAATGGGTTCATGCCTTAGATTTCCCTGTCTCACCTATTTTTCTTGCTAATGATTCCCCAATTTTGCCTTACTAGTCCCTACCATCAGAGATAAAAGTAACTGAGGAAAAATATTGTGGGGCCTGCTTTAAGCTAAGATTACAGGTTGAAAAGAAAGTTAATTTATATCTTTTTTCATTATAATCATGTCTGCTGATAACTGATAAAGTTGATAAAAATATGAAATATTTGCCAGAGTAATGTAATTTTCTGTTTATGTTTATTATTTAGTTACTAGATATTTAAGTGGGTGAGCCCCACTGGAGGTGATTTACTAGACTGATAGTAGTATGCCTACCTCTCTCTCTGCCCCTTGCTACCCACTTTCAATTTTTAATCTCATATTACTGTACCTTCATCATTTATTCTGTTAGTTATCTTTATTGTTTCATTACTTTGATGTGTTTACACTTTTTAAATTTCTCCATTTTTTACTATTGTAAATCCCCCAGAGTAACCACTCAGTGAGATGGGCAGTAAATCAAGTTAAAAAGAAAGAAAGAAAGAAAGAAAGAAAGAAAGAAAGAAAGAAAGAAAGGAAGAAAGGAAGGAAGGAAGGAAGGAAGGAAGGAAGGAAGGAAGGAAGAAAGATAGAAAGAAAGAATGAAAGAAAGAAAGAAAGAAAGAAAGAAAGAAAGAAAGAAAGAAAGAAAGAAAGAAAGAAAGAAAGAAAGAAAAAATCTCTCTTCTGTCATAAAGTTTAACTTTTTCCTCCTACAGAATAGGTCTCCCTCCCCATAGCACTATATAACGATGATGCACAATAGATTCTACATATGAAAGGAGATCCACTAGAGGTGTTCTGATCTAGACTTCCCTCAACAGCACGAAGCTGAGTCCTCGTTCTGATAAACCCCTTTTATTTGATTTACAATGAATTTCCTCTCCAACAAAGTTCCGGCTAACAGTTTTTCATGATAGTTCCCAATTACAAAGGTTTATCAGGCTGAAGAGGGGCCAGGGCTGTATCTTTCAGACGCTGCAATACTTGGCAAGCATGCCGGAATGAACCAATTATTTCCTGCAAAGCCCCAGTCCCCTTTCGCTCCTCTTTTATACTCTAGGGGAGGGGCCAATCACCGTCCACCTGTGGCTTTCCTTGCATGTCGTCCCTTGCTTATCAGCTGTTCTCTTCATCTGGCAACTCTGCGCATGCACACACTGGAAACAAGCTCTAGCTGTTCTTCTGCCTCATTGATGTCTGACTCCAAAGGCAGCTGATATCTGTCAGATGGCCCTGGCCCTATATCTGCCTCCGATGCAGAGCACTCGTCAGAGCCTTCCCCAGACTCCAAAACTGGCCCATTCTCCTCCTCAAACTCCTCACTGTTCGAATCTGCTACCAGCTCAAGTATCCATAGATATGAATGTGAAAACAATTGTTTGATTAAATAAGAACTCTTGGTTTTTATGGTGCAATTGCCATGAATCCAAAAGAGAATCCTATGAAGAATCCAGTTTTTCCATTGTTTCATATTCTTTCTTTCTAGAAACTGTAATGGAGGGAGAAACAAAAATAATGGAAACTATCTCTCTGGAATTATGTCAAGCACATTTATTTATTTTATTGTGAAGTCTATCGTATTTTTGTTTGCAAGGCAAAATGCACACATATAATTATATAAGCAGGCTTCCTAAAGTGTACTAAGGAGCTGAGAATTACCGACAGACATAATAACTTATTAAAACAATGTAAATAAAATATACCATAAATCAATAATTTCTTTATAGTTTCAGACCAATAATACACAGGAATACAGAATTTAAAATATAGTCACTAATAAAATAGAAAATTTAAAATGTTTCAGATAGCATAAATTTTTCATTTGTTATCAAAAATAAAGCAAACCTCTACTGAATTTGCATGTCACATTAAATTTATGTAATGCAGTAGGACGAAAGCCAGCAAACCATATCTTTGCATGAATTCCCTGTAAAATATTCATGCTGCATATAGAAATATTAAATAAAGGGGAGGTTATTTCCTCCAGATCCCTACATTTTAAAGTCTTGGGATGAGAGTTAGCCCTTTTTGTTAATGTTGTTTCTTTAAGAACCTCCTTCTCCAACATTATAATCAATCCAGCCTTGGTAATTTCCTCTGTTGACCAGAAATCTTCTTTTCAGGATATATTTAGTAGTCAGTCATTCATAGAAAAAAAATTCACTAACATTCTAATACTTGATCTAAACTTATGTTATACATTACATCAAAGGTGGTATTTAGCAGGTTCTGACCAGTTCTGGAGAATCAGTAGTGGAAATTTTGAGTAGTTTGGAGAACTGGCAAATACCACCTTTGACTGGAGATTTTACATTATCCTTCCACTGCCAAGCCATGCCCACAGAACCAGTAGTAATTTTTTTTGAATCCCACCACTGCATTACATAAATGGCTTTCATCTGCAACCTGTTTCCATGATCTACGCAATTATCTGCTAACTGTAACACATAGACACTTCTACCAGATGCTAACAATTCAATGACTAGCAACCTCTTTGCACTTATTTATCATATGCCAAAATTGATGCTTTGTCTTCTTTTTGGAGTTTTTGGAGAAAGAAATGAAATTTAATCTTTTAAGGACACAATGAATGGGAGTACAGGTAGTCCTCAATTTTTGACCACAATTGAGCCCAAAATTTCTGTTGCTATGCAAGACAGTTATCAAGTGATTTTTGCTCCATTTTATGACTTTTCTTGCTACAGTTGTTAAAGGAATCACTGCAGTTGTTAAGTTAATAAGATGGAGATTAAGTGAATCCAGCTATGACTTTGCTTGTTGGAAGTAGTAAAAGATTATTAGATGTCCACAAGACACCACAACTGTCATAAATACATGCCAGTTGCCAAACATCTAAATTTTGATCACATGACCATGGGACACTGCAGTGGTCATAAATGTGAAAATTGGTCATTAATCACTTTTTTCAATGCCACTGTGATTTTGAACTGTCACCAAATGAATATTGTAAGTTGAGGATTACCTATAAAACAAAAAGCATAACCATGAAGTTGTTCTTATTCATAAAAATATGTTAAATAAATAGCATTTTGTACAATTTTCTTGTACAAACTTTTTTCCTTGTGAAAAAGGTTAGTTTATAGTAAAAACAGACAAACTTTCCATTCTTGAACATAGCATTTCAACACAAATAACATTTCAATTCAATCATTTTATCATCTGTTTATTATTTCAAAATATTATCTAAGTATGTATGAATTAAAAAAATCTAATACATAATTAATAAAAAATCAAGTGCAAACCTTTCTCCGATGAGATGGCACAATGAAAAAGGTTTCAATATTATGCTTCTTTAAGAAACTGTTCCTTTCATAGCCATATCCGGGCTCTACCTCATAGTCACCATTTAGGCACTCCAAAGTGGTCTTTGTTACATGTACTTTCCTAAGTATAAATAAAGAATAGTTGTTTAATTCTACGATCCATTAGCTTTCTTTATAGAATTCAGTTTGAATCTTCTTTCTTGATACATGAAAATCAATCCTTCCATTTTATCTCAAAAGATTTTACTTTCAAACAATTCAGTGTAGACCAAACACAAGAAGTGAAGGCAATGGAGAATAAACTTGATCCAGACCAAAATCTAAACCAATTAGTACACTTTGGAAAACAAAAAGTTATGGAAGAAGAACTGCACACAATTTGGATTCC